TCCATAGACTTGGAGCCAGGCTATTTTTATAGTGAAGTGACATAGATCCCTTTGCATGCCTGCAAGCCCATGCACGTCAGGCACACAGATGTGTTAATACTGTGTTACTTTCATGGTAATGCCAGCCTAAAGAATTGCATCCTTTGCCAACTCCATTTGAAAGGAATGCCATTGTTTTGTTTGGTAGAGCATATGGCCAGTAAAGTATGTGCAGGGACTCCCAGCATTTTTGTTTAAAAGTTTGCCGCAGGAGTATAAACAATTAAGGCAACACTCAGAATTTCCAATCCTGAAAACCTGTTGACTCAGATGTTCTGTTTTCAAGAAAACCATGAAAGACCTGGGCATCTTTCTGGGGGTGCAGATAGCCTGCTGGCAAGCATGGGTTCTCCTTGTAGGAGAATCCCTGGTGTCCCACAAGCTTCCCAGTTCGGCTCTCTCACCAGCAGCCTCTCTCACTTAGGGAAGGTCTACTTTCTTTCCCTAAAGCTGTTTCTTACCCCAGCCCCAAAAGCATGATCATCAGGATTCTATCTTCTGAAGCTTTTTGAGGAAGAAAGCTAGGGTAGAACTTTTCAGGTTGACAGCCATTTTTTCTCAATTTTTTTTTTTTTTTTTTTTTTTTTTTTGTGGTGGGATAAGATTAAAAAAGAAAATATTTATGGTACTTGGCTGCATGTGTGAAACAGATTTCAGGGGTCTAGAGGGTTGCTTCGTGTCTTTATATATGGCAGCTCCTATCCAGTTGGCTTTAACCATGTCATATAACTAAGAATACCTATGCCTTTGACCACTTTTACCTGCAGGACTATTACTATCAGTATGCCGCTCTTTCTGACTTACTGGATTTGTAAAGCAAATCACTCTCTTAGCATTTAGAGATTTGGCAGTGAAAAAATTAGACCATTTACATTCTTTCTTACATGTAGCCTTCCTGTCAGTGCCAGTCTTCTCTCAGTTGTATGAGATCTCGTCATTTTGTACTTCTCTGTTAGGTGTTCAGTTTGAAAGAAAATGAGTGACTTTTTAAAAAGCGACTCATCGGACATTCACATTGAGTCAAGTTTAAGATTTGTAGTGGGAAAAACCTAGTTGATTTTACAACTTGACTTTTGATTCTTAGAAAACATTTATTACAATTATTTTTCTCTGAGAGATTTTGCACATCAACTTCAAGTTGATTTAATATAATTTCACAGATTTAATGACTGATTTATGGACAGTCTACTCTTCAAGAAGAAAACCATGTGAGCATTTTGCTGCCTATTTCACTAATCCAGAAAAAGATATTTATTATCCGAATGACTGTAGCGAATATATGAGCACGAATAGCGAAGACCTATGTCTTGTTGCTTTTGGAATAATTCAACTTTAATAACATTCCAACTGTGTGGAATGTCAAGAGTTTTTGGAGAATAGAAAAAAAGCATGTATTTTTCTTTCCCTTTAAACCATTTTACGCAGCAAAGAATCCAGACATTGTCACCCATGATCATGCCACAGATGCAGACCCATAGCGGCCTCTTTCAACTCCAAGTTTCTTCAGTTCAAGGCTATGTTTAATTTTGGCCTTTTCTCTCCTTGATTGCTGGGTAAAGCCAGGGCATGGCCAGAGAAGTAGAGAGCCTGCAAAAGCTCAGGTGCTCGGGACTCTTTTAATTGAGTTTGTCCCATCCTGCTTAGATACAAAGTGCCCAATTTTTCTAAAGCTGACGCAAGTTGTTATTGGCTAAACAGCAGGGAATCACTCTAAGGCTCTCTGAAATGTATCCCAACAAACAAAAATGATTTTCTTTTTATGTATGTCGCATCGACCAAGATTGCTCACCAAGGCTAGTGTGTTCTTTGCACAGCTGGCATAAAACCAACAGTGTTTATCTTAAGGACTATAGAGGCCTTCACAAGGAAAGATAGAAGGAATGAGTAAAGCCAGGCCACCTATCACTATAAATGTCAATGACTAAATTCAGTGACCTTCTTAGCTGATACAGCTTATTTTCATTTTATGTTGACTCATGACAGTAGCTGGTCATCAACACATCATAATAATGTACCTGCGAGTCTCCACATGCTGTCAGACCTGTACATGGGTTCTGATAATTAGCTTAGCAATTGATAGCACTTGTAGAAAGAACAGGGGGGAAAAAGACAAATGAAACACCAAGAAATGGATGTGCTGACATAGCCTCGGTGTTATTGAGTGTAACACATAAGTTTACCCCTTGGGGGATACTATACATGGAAGATTTGAGTTAGAAGTTGACACTGCCCAGACAGGGGTCGAAGAAGCCTTGCTTGGATGACCATTTTCCCCACCCCAAGAAAGCCATCTCTAAATGGAGCTGACTCCCACCATCCCCCGCCCATCTTCCCGACTTTTCTGTGAATCACCCCTCCCTTAGGGATGCCTTTAGGGGTTGTTACAGGCTCTCTTCTGCGAATAACGGAGAAGAGCGGCCACAAGAGGGCGCGTTCCAAAGACTTTTGCTCCTTGTCAGTTTCTCTAAGGAAAGGCAGTTGTGCCTACTGGAAGCCCCTGTCTGTAGCGCCCTAATCTTGGTGATTATCAGTTACCTTCTGCTCCCTCTCATCATGCAGAAAAAGTTAGGAATTTATGATATGGGAGAAGCATGACTACCTGTAATACATTAAATGAGACAGAAGGAAAGGAAATGGAAATTCTACTGATACATGTGAACATTCCGGAGCTCTATGGAAGGCAGACGAGTGATACATTTCAAAAGCAAACAAAACAGAGCAGGGAGAAATGTGACCATGAATCATCAGCGATACTGATTTGCTCACAAGTCTCTCTCTAATACGGTCACCCGGGGCGTAACAAAAACATCTTCCGTCTCCCCTGATTTTGCTGCCTAGTTTTCCTGTCTTATCAACACTTTGCACCAGTGACAAATGACAAGTGACTTCAAACAGGGAGGAAAAAGGTGGTTCTTTCTTTGATGCCTTGTGGAGACATGGTGTACAGCTTCTCAGGATGCATTTGTTTCCGAACCGAGGGTGTGGAGAGCAGTGGTGGGGAAAGATGGGAAAAGAGGTTAATAGTGGTCTGTGGCCTGTGCAGTTGGGATGCTCTGGGCTCGAAGTGGTGGAGATGCCAGGGTGGAAAGTCAGTTGTAATATTTAAAGAACTGCAGTAATACCTTCCCAGGCACTTTTCTTGAAAACACATATTTGTCTTGGCCCCTCTTGTGCTGAAAAATACTTGCATATGATCTCCTAGCTGTAGTTCAGAATTCTTCCCACTCGACTGGTTCCTAGGTCCAAAATCAAAAGTGCCAAAGTTCTCAGGAACTTTGGAAGAAGTCTCTGAAATTTTGTGGGTTGAACCTTAAGAATTTTTGCTGCTTGTAGGAACCTAAAACCCCTTTCTCCCGAAATATTTAACCTTTTTCATCACCATTTTAATGGAAGAGGCATGGATGATGGATGTTTGTGGCTGGCATTTATAAAGCAATAATAGATCCTAAGAAGGGACATTAAAGCTAAAAAGTTAATCAAGATAATTCATGGCCAAACCTATAGTTCTACTGCAGGAAAGATCCTCTACTGTAGATCAAAGGAGGAATAATCTTAAGACCTCACTTGCTGCTTCCTGCACAAACCCCTGGAAGCAGTCCAAATGCAAAGTTAGAGCTTCAGAGAATGCACCCTGTAAATGGTGGTTGTGTATACCCTTACTATTGACTATACCATATCTAGGCACAGTGAAATCTTGATGAAGAATGGAAAATTAAAGGAACAGACGCTTTTTTCAGGGAGGCTTCCCCCACCCCCTACCCCATGGTAAGTTTAAATATGTTCTATAAACAACAAGGCTTTCCACATTCACATTAGAGACATAATTATTGCCCATATGTAAAAGAGCAACATATTTTAAGAAGGACCCTGGTGAGGAAAACAAAACCAAATCGAAACACTGCATGTGTGTGTAGCTGATTTAATTGGAAGTGTTCATACACTCACAGATCTGAGATGCTGGACTTCTGGATGAGCCCAGCATTTGCATCCTAGTGTGGGGGGAGGGAACAACGGGGGGCTTAGCTGCTTAACCCTTGGCATGCCTTCGTGATTGACTTATTCAAAACATTTTTAAAATTCTGAAAGCAAATAAAAATGTGCTACAAACACCCTTCCGGGTATCTTTCCTTCCAGCTTAACACAGCCTCTCCCCTGTCCAATCCTTCCCACGAGCAGCATTTCAAAGGTATTCCCTGTGAGGTACGAAATTTCTCTCTGCCCATTTTTCTGCACCTCTTTTTCTCTCTCTTTGGTATGTGTCCACCGAGCTCATAGAGGTTTAAGTGATGAAATATTATCACCCACATGGGTTTGCGTGGGACTTTCTTAGTGAATTACTCAGGCAGAGCAGGCTGTGATACAGCCTTGCTCACAAGCCTCGGGAGAGAAAAAATAGCACAGAGGATGAAAAGAATATTATCAGAGAGTAGGTAATGAAAGGTTAGCAAAGCAACCAGCTATATCTGGCTAGCTAGGTAATAGTGCAGGAACCTAGGTCGCACCTGTACAAACTAATGCAGAAACTGCTCACAGCGCATTATGGGAAGGCTTTCATTTCAAGGTTTTACAGCATGAGATATTTAAGTGAAAGCTCAAACTGATTAGCAATTGACCCCGAACATCTCAGCCTTAGTCAACCTTCCCTTTTTCAAATTGTTATGCATGGAGATTGGAGTATTGGGGCATCCTGAAAGTGTCACTGCAGTATTGCAATCTCTCTCAGGTAATATAGAGATAAAGGGAATATAATAAATTGACCTGTTATTTATTATATTTTTCATACCTAGGACATTCCAGGGCTGTAATATATTTCTGAAGCCTGCAGCCCTGATAAACATCAATCCCACGTCAGTTTCCAGCAGTCTCATCTCCCCACCCCCTTCTGCAATGAAAGCTAATGTAAAAGAAAGAAATATGCACTGCTTAATAAGTCAGAATACAATAGAACTTGTAAAATGTACCTGCATACAAGGTAGACATTAGGAAGACTTGAATCTTTCTCTTCCCCCTGTTCTCCTGAGCATTATGGCAACAGCATTTTCATGAAATTAGATCTGTTTTTTTTCTTGATAAAATATCATGCAATATACAAATAGCAGTTCCAGAAATGGACACCAGGAGAAGGAGGCGACAGGCATGTCAATTAGTAGGGGGAAAATCCAAATGTCAGAAATATGGGGGAGAGAGAAAGCACGCAGGCAGTGGATGCATATACAGGGAACAGAGTCTTTCAATTCATATAATTAAACGGATGCATAAATCAGCGCCCGTACCCCTCCACAAAACGCAGGCGACCAGCATGAAAGTCATTTTATGATGACTCTCTGATCCTAATATAACAGCACCTGACAGATTGAGCCCCCTCTAATGAGTACTCTCTTTGTACAATCCTCTCTCAGGAACACTAAATCATTTGCTTCCAAGTACAGCTGCCTGTGAAGAAGGGGTGGGGCTAGATCATGCATCAGAAACCTGCTCTTGTGAAATGAGGGGCTGTCCTGTAGGCTGTGTGACTGGAAGCCAGCAGCCTCAGCCTCTCTAGCCCCACAAAAGCAATTTGCACGCGGCTGTCACTAATTCCAGTCAGCCAAGTAACCCTCCCTCGGCACCCCCACCCAAACATCTGTAGTCTGCTCTGGATGTTATTCATGGAAAGTCCACTGCATGCAGGTCAGCACCGCTGTCCATCAACCTTCACCCTGACCCCTTCTGGCAGGTGTGGTTGAGAGCAGAGCAGAGCCCATGGGGATGAGTTACCCAAAACCCAGTGAACCTCCCCATCTGGGGCACTAGTCAGACACTTCCAGTTTCACACTCTTTCCTAGAAAAACAAAACCCAACCTTGTGCCCTCTGGCTTCTCTAATTTAGCAGCTACTATCTCTCTGTTTTTAGAGTGACACCCTGTGCAGTTTAGGATTTCAGAAGCTGTCCTGCATAGAGGCAGAAGGGAAAACAGCGGGTAGCTTGTTAACATTCTCCACGGGGCAGGGCAGATGTGCCCACGCTGGAGGTAACCTGCACACCCTCCAGGCCAGTTATCCGAGGCTTGGGAGGTTTCCCTCAGCCTTCTCCTACGGCCTTGGCAGGACCTTGCCACCTTAAAATCAAATGCTGATTGCCTTTTTAGATTTAAATGATTAAGCTCTGCTTCTGGGAATCTTCTTCCCTTTTACTTTGTTAAAAAACAAACAACAACAACGAAACCCCCACCAATTCTTAGCAAAAGGGAATATGGAATTCAGATCTTGAAAAAATAAGTCATCATGCTTCCTAAAATAAGACCGCTTCTCCCTCTAACTGCTCCCTGCTCTGGTAGTCTATCTAATCTTAAACCCAACTTTATAATTCATTTCAATTCCTGCCAAAGACATGAGGTCGGAGTCAGAGGAACTCCCCTTACCACCACCACCATCATCATGGCCCGCATCCTCGTACGGTTATAGAAAGATGCCAGAGAACCTTTCACATCCATCTGCAGCCCTGCTTGGCCCTTGCCTCAGTGAATTTACCACTATCATAATCACAGTGTGCAGAGTGTGTTAAATTAAGAACAGAATCTACAATACGCAATGCACAGAAAAGCCTGCCTTCTGCTGCAGAGAACTTGAAACTGTGCCTAAAATTTATAGTACCGTAAACATCTCAGGGCCTCGAGTGATAAGTATGGCTGGATTTCCGTTAACTATAGAAATCCAGGCAGGGAGATCCTCCCAGGGAGTTGCGAGTTCTAAGATGAACTTCTTAAAGATTGTTCCCAGATTTGTGCATGGGATATATGTACAGCGGACAGTTGTAAGGCGGTCCATGGTCATGGGAAAGAGGATATGTTTCTATATGCCACCAAGTGGGGAAAATGGAAGTGAGGGAAAATATCTGATTAATCAAAAAATTCTCGTTTGGAAACCTGCTTTTATAGTAAATGCCGTTGCACGATTAAACATGCAGGTGCTTAGGATAAGAGAAGGAAATAGATGACTTTCTAATTTTAGAGTTAGGCTAGAACTGAGTGGTTGCTTAATTCAACTGCCCTGACAATGTGGGGGTTTCCTGTGTGTTAGCTGTGGTTGCGATTTGACATAGGATTCTGGTGCTCATTAAACTGCACTCTGATGGGTCACAGGCAAAAATGGAGGATTCAGAGGTAAGAGGTGGCTCTCTTAATTTACTAGAACTTAGTGCTAAGGACTCCTCCATTTGTTCAATAAGTAATCAAGTCATTGCCTACTTTCTGCTAAACACTAGACTATGCTAGTGACCTTAGACCCTAGGCATTCTAAACCAGGCTGGCAGGAGTGGGGTGGTGGAGGAGATGTGAGGGAAGCCTCCTAGAGAAAGTGTCATCCAAACAATCTGAAAATTGAAACATTATTAAAGGCAGCACTAAGGGTGGTATGCTGGAGTTTGGTGGGGCAGGAGCGCTTGAGGCAGAAGAAACAGCAGGTGTCACTGCCTGCAGGTGAGGGGGGTGGGGTTCTCAAGGCTTCAAGGGAATACTGTGTAGCTAGACCCCAGAGAACAGGACTGGGCAAGAGCTGGTATTCAAGGTAGGAACAGCATGTGCACAGCCCAAAGTCCTGGGCAGTTTCTGTTAGATACTGAGAGCAATAGGAAGTCAGTAAAGGACTTTCAAGAAGTGGTGTGATCAGATGCACCTGTGGGAAAGATCCCTTTAGCTGCTTCATGGAGAAATGACTGGAGAGAAGGCCCGCCTCAGTCAAGCAGAAGCAAAGTAAAGAAAATGCTGCTGCAGTGACCCAGCAAAGAGGTGACTGGGGAGGAATCAGACTGTGACAAGGGAAGAGGAGCCTGGCTCAGTGTGTCCCTCCCGCACAGACCTACACACTGAGGTGGGGCCAGGGGCTGCATTTTTGTCTGAGAACAATATTTCCTTAGCTTTCTAGAGATTGCAGTGTCTTTTTGTTTATATTATCTCATTTTATCTTCCTAAACCTGTGAGATAACAGGTCAAATGTCATTAGGTCATTCCCATTTTATAGAAGATGAAACTGAGGTTAAGCAATTATTCAACAGACACAGACCCTCAGGCCCTCTTCATTCTAAAGCAAGGGTCCAACAGCTTTTTTCTGCAAAGGGTTGGAGAGTAACTAGTTTAGGCTTCATGAGCCAGTCTGTTGCAGCTACTCAGCTCTGGTTTATAGCGCAAAAGCAGCCGTAGGTAGCATGTCCAGAAATGAGCATAGCTGTGCTCCAACATAACTTTATGTACAGGCACTAACATTTAAATTTTAGATAATTTTTACATGTCACAAAGTATCACTTTTTCCCTAACCACTTAAAAGCATAAAAACCAAGCCGGGCGCGGTGGCTTAAGCCTTTAATCCCAGCACTTTGGGAGGCCGAGGCGGGTGGATCACGAGGTCAAGAGATCGAGACCATCCTAGTCAACATGGTGAAACCCCGTCTCTACTAAAAAATCCAAAAAATAGCTAGACATGGTGGTGCGTGCCTGTAATCCCAGCTACTCAGGAGGCTGAGGCAGGAGAATTGCCTGAACCCAGGAGGCGGAGGTTGCGGTGAGCCGAGATCGCGCCATTGCACTCCAGCCTGGGTAACAAGAGCAAAACTCCGTCTCAAAAAAAAAGAAAGAAAGAAAAAAAAAGTATAAAAACCATTCTTAGTTTGCCAGCAGTACAGAAACAGTTACAGCTTGTGGGCTATTATTTGCTGACCCCTGTTCGAGATGGTCTACCACAGAAGACTCCTGCTTGTCTGAAATTTGTGAGTGCATGTAAATGTTGGAATTAACAGGTGTCCCTGTTGTCTCTTACACTGTCTTTCATCATTAGGCACAGCCAGGAAGACGCTGCACTTCGAGATTTCCAAGGAAGGCAGTGACCTGTCAGTGGTGGAGCGTGCAGAAGTCTGGCTCTTCCTAAAAGTCCCCAAGGCCAACAGAACCAGGACCAAAGTCACCATCCGCCTCTTCCAGCAGCAGAAGCACCCACAGGGCATCTTGGACGCAGGGGAGGAGACCGAGGAAGTGGGCTTAAAGGGGGACAGGAGTGAACTGTTGCTATCTGAAAAAGTGGTAGATGCTCGGAAGAGCACCTGGCACGTCTTCCCTGTCTCCAGCAGCATCCAGCGGTTGTTGGACCAGGGCAAGAGCTCCCTGGACGTTCGGATTGCCTGTGAGCAGTGCCAGGAGAGTGGTGCCAACCTGGTGCTCCTGGGCAAGAAGAAGAAGAAAGAAGAGGAGGGGGAAGGGAAAAAGAAGGGTGGAGGTGAAGGTGGGGCGGGAGCAGATGAGGAGAAGGAGCAGTCGCACAGACCTTTCCTCATGCTGCAGGCCCGGCAGTCTGAAGACCACCCTCATCGCCGGCGTCGGCGGGGCTTAGAGTGTGATGGCAAGGTCAACATCTGCTGTAAGAAACAGTTCTTTGTCAGTTTCAAGGACATCGGCTGGAATGACTGGATCATTGCTCCCTCTGGCTATCATGCCAACTACTGCGAGGGTGAGTGCCCAAGCCATATAGCAGGCACATCTGGGTCCTCGCTGTCCTTCCACTCGACAGTCATCAACCACTACCGCATGCGGGGCCATAGCCCCTTTGCCAACCTCAAATCGTGCTGTGTGCCCACCAAGCTGAGACCCATGTCCATGTTGTACTATGATGATGGTCAGAACATCATCAAAAAGGACATTCAGAACATGATCGTGGAGGAGTGTGGGTGCTCATAGAGTTGTCCAGCCCAGGGGCAAAGGGAGCAAGAGTTATCCGAAGAAGACAGTGGCGAAATGAAGAAATTTTTAAGGTTTCTGAGTTAACCAGAAAAATAGAAATTTAAAAACAAAAACAAAAACAAAAACAACAAAAAAAAGTAAATTAAAAACAAAACCTGATGAAACAGATGAAGGAAGATATGGGGAAAAAATCTTTAGCCAGGGCTCAGACATGAAGCAGTGAAAGAGTCGGGAATTGGGAGGGGAAGGGAAAATGGTGGACCCTTCATTTCTTCTGAAATCACACTGATGACATCAGTTGTTTAAAAGGGGCATTGTCCTTTCCCCCCTTGCAGTTCCCTTGTGAGCCTTGAATCAACTAGTCCAGCCTGCAGTAGAACAGTCTGCAGTGGACTAGAACAACCCAAATAGCATCTAGAAAG